CAGCAGTTCAGCATCGAGCCAATGGCACAGGCCAGTTACTGTCTACACCCCGGGGATTCCTGCCCCCTGCCTTTGCACGAGTGTGAGGGCAGCTTGTGCTGACAGTCTCTGAGAGGTTCCTTCTTCCTTCAGTGTCCTTCAGCCTCATGTCTCTTCCTGACACATATCAGACAAGGTGGTTGGCAGCCCACGTCCCTGTGTGGCTGTGGGGCAGAGGGTCTCAGCGTTCTCTGGCCTGGTCTTGATCCCATCAATGGGGAACCTGAGTGCTGGGCCCTGAGGCTGCTGCTTTTCTTTTGTGCAGCCATGGCTGGAGCAGGCAGCTGAGCCTCTGTGTCCAGCTCAGCTCAGCAAATTAAATAAATAAGATAAATTAATGGAGATATCCCATCTCCTAGAACTGGAAGGGACCTTGAAAGGTCATCAAGTCCAGCCCCCTGCCTTCACTAATAGGACCAAGTACTGATTTTACCCCAGATCCCTAAGTGGCCCCCTCAAGGATTGAACTCACAACCCTGGATTTAGTAGACCAATGCTCAAACCACTGAGCTATCCCTCCCCCCAAAGAGGTCCCCCCCTCCACACAACCTTGCCCCCTGCAGGCTTTTTGTTCTTTCCAGTACAGCCACGCTCCCCTTAGCAGCCCCAAGCTCCCACTACATGCTGATTCTGACCAGAGGTGACGTTAGGGTTGCCAACTTTCTAATTGCAGAAAACCGAACACCCTCATCCCATCGCCTGCCCGCCCCTTCCCCTGAGGCCTCACCCTGCCCTGCTTCTTCTCTGAGGCCCCGCCCCCCCACTCACTCCATCCCCTCTCCCTCTGTCACTCGCTATCCCCCACCCTCGCTCACTCGCTCATTTTCACTGGGATGGGGCAGGAGGGTTTGGGTGCGAGAGGGGGTGAGGACTCCGACTGGGGGTGCTGGCTCTGGAGTGGGGCCAGGGAAGAGGGGTTTGGGGTGCAGGAGAGGGCTTTGGGCAGGGAGGTGGGGTGAAGGGGATCAGAATGTGGGCGGTGGCTCTGGGCTAAGGCAGGGGATTGAGGTATGGGCTCTGGGCTGGGGGTGCAGGCTCCAGGGTGGGGCCAGAAATGGGTTCAGGGTGCAGGAGGGGGTTCAGGCTGGGGCAGGGGTGTGGGAGGGGGTTCGGGAAGCAGCTGGCATGTCCCTCTGTGCGGCTCCTAGGCCTAGGAATGGTCAAGGAGGCTCCACACACTGCCCCCGCCTGCAGGTGCCACCCCCGCAGCTCCTACTGCTTGTGGCAGCGGCAGCACGCGGAGCCTCCCTGGCTGTCCCTCCACCAAGGAGCCACGGGGACATGTCGCTGGTTCTGGGAGCTGCGTGGAGCCTGGCTGGGAGCCTGCCAGCCCCTCTGTGCCGCAACTGAGCTTTTTAGGGCCTGGTCAGCAGTGTCGACCGGAGCTTCTAGGGTTCCTTTTCAACTAGGCATTCCAGTCGAAAACCAGACACCTGGCAACCCTAGGTGGGAGGGCACGCAGGATCATATGCCCTCCCCCCGATTTGCTGCTTGTCTTGTACTGAGCATGCTCAGTAACATCTGCTGAAGCTGGCTGCTCTCACTCTGCCCCCCACTATTGGCAGGCATGGGTTGTCTCTGTGATTCTCAATGGGGAAGAGCCATAGGGTACATGCAGATTTGGGCTAGCAGGGCTCGTGGTAATACTCTGGCAAGTAAATGCCTGTCTAGACAGCACTTTGAAATTGTGCCTTGGGCTGGCGCTCAGACTCTAAAGCCTACGGATTGTGTGTGTGGGGGAGGGAGGTGCTGTCTATACACTGTTGTTAGAGTACTAGCATGAGCCTTGCAAGCTCAAGTCTGTTGACCCAAGCTGGGAGGCTTGCTCCAAAATGCTGTGTAGACATACCCATAGTGACCTTTAGTCCCAGTGAGCTCTTGGGCAATGTGGTGGCCCACTGTTCTCCAGTCACCTCTAGAGGAGACTTTAACACCACGGTGTGTGTATGTATTACAGCAGCGAACAGAGGAGAAGCAAACACAGAGAGTTTGCTGAGAACTTGCAAGTACCAGGAGGATGAATGGGTGATCACTAGCAGCCAGCATGGATTTACCAAGAACAATCATGCCAAAACAGCTTGGTTTCCTTCTTTCACAGAGTAATTGGTTTGGAGGATAGGGGGAACACAGTGGACATAATATACCTGGATTTCAGGAAAGCTTTTGACACAGTTTCACTTGACATTCTGATAAGTAAGCTGGAGAAATGTGGGCTTACGCAGTGTCATCAGATGTTGGCTATGTGTATGTGTTCTCTCTGCGTGCTGCACTGGCTCTGGCCAGATAGCCCGTACAGCAGGTTCCGATCGAACTGCCCAATAACCACAGACCTGTTTAGTAGCGAAGGCACCCGGCCAGGTTTATTGTTAACGAAGATTCTACAGGATCACTAACACATGTATGCCCATCACAATGGACCAGCTCAGTCAGTGGCAGGACTTTTCACTGCCCCCCAGCCAGCCAAAGACACTCCCAGTCTGAGACTCCATTTTATACACTGATACAAACAAGTTATGTATTGCCCTCTGACATGGTCAGTTACCACCCTCTGACGTAGTTAGTTACCACCCATTACCTTTTACATGTTGGTTCGATCAAAACATATCTATCCATCACACTGTCATCCTGACCCTATCTCTAAGAGGGGGTCAGTGTATTTTTGTATCATCCTTGGGGCATGTGTTTGTACCATACTTGGTATTGGGGTGTTCTGGTACCATCCTTCTGGAATGTGTTTGCATGAGTGTCCTGTGCCCAGCATTTCTCAGGAATGTGTGTGTTTTTGTAATACCAGCCCTGTTCTTGACAGATTCTGTGAGCCTGCACGCAGGCAGAGCCTAACTCTGCTCACAGCCTGTCTCTTGCTAACTTTGCTTTATATTAGCAAGGCTTGACCACTACTTTAGTTCAGGCCACAGGCCGGACCTCTGATACAAGGGCTTATATCTCAGGCTCTCTTTCTATTACAGGCAGAACTACCATTAAGTGGACACATAATTGGTTAAATAACCGCAAACGAAGAGTAACTATTAATGGAATGATGTCAGATTGGAGGGAGGTCTCAGGTGGGTTCCACAGAGATCTGTTCTGGGTCCAGTATTGTTAAAAATCTCTGTTAATGACCTGGATGTGGGAATAGAGAGCATACTGATCAAATTTGCAGATGACACAAAGCTGGGGCGGAAGGTTGCTGACACTTGGGAGGATAGAGCTAAAATTCAGAGGGCTCTTTATAAATTGGAGAACTGGGCTATAGACAAGAAAATGAAATTCAAGGAAGACAAATGTAAAGTGCTACACTTAGGGAAGAAAAACCAAATGCACAAGTACAGAATGGGGGATAACTGGCTTGGCAGCAGCACTGCTGAGAAGGATCTGGGAGTGGAGGTGGATCACAACCTCAGCATGAGTCAGCAATATGATGCTGTTGCAAAAAAAGCAAATGCAATTTTAGGCTGCATTAACAGAGGCACAGCATGCAAGTCACGGGAGGTGATAGTACCACTCTACTCAGCGCTAGGTAGGCCTCAGCTGGAGTACGGTGTCCAGTTTTGGTCACCAATGTATAGGAAGGATTTAGAGAAACTGGAAAGGATCCAGAAGTGAGCAACAAAGATGATCAAAGGGATGGAATGCAAGTCATATGAGCAAAGGCTGAAGGAACTGGGTATGTTTAGTTTGGAAAAGAGGAGATTGAAGGGGAACATGATAGCAGTCTTTAAATACTTGAAAGACTGTCGTGAAAAAGATGGAGAACAGTTGTTCTCTCTTGCCACAGAGGGAAGGACAAGAGGCAATGGGTTCAAACTACAGCATAGCAGATTAAATCTCAGGATAAATTTCCTAACTGTAAGAACAGTAGGACAATGGAACAGACGCCTCGGGAGGTTGTGAAAGCTCCTTCACTGGAGATTTTCAAAGGGAGGCTGGATAGCCACTGTCTTGGATGGCTTAGACACAACAAATCCTGCATCTTGTCAGGGGGGTTAGACTCACTAGATGACCTTTGTGGTCCCTTCTAACCCTATGATTCTATGATTGCTGTCCAGTTACAATGGCTATGGGAAGCAGAACTTTGCATTCGCTGGCCCAGATCCTGGGCTGTTATGTAAATCATCTTTGGTGCCCTAATCTTGGGGCTATCAAGCACTAAGCCAGTTCCCAAGAGCAACACAGAGTGGTCCAATGCTGCTTTAAATTGTACCAGCTGACAATGGCCCCAGGGCTGTTCTGGGAGCTAGGGATTGTCAGGCACAAGGATACCCCAGGCCATGTCTTCTTTCCTCCAGTCTTAACCCCTACACCAGTGCCTGGTAGAGGGTAGGGTAGGAACTGCTAGGATGGCTCATCAACCCCTGAGGATCCCCTTGCAGAACAGGAGTCCTAGAGTGGCTGGATTCCCCAGGTTTAAGTCTGTTTAGTACTGGCGTAAAGATGCAGAGCTGACTATTTACTGGAGAATCGGCTCCTGTGGCCTTTGTGCATCAAAAATCCCAGCCTTTATGTGGAGTGACCAGTTCTCTAGCAATTAATTTTCTTGGATTTGTAAAGAAAAAGCACTCTATGCACAGGCCAGCCCTGCTGCTGGGAAAGATGCCATTCAAGTGCTGTTTGCTTCCTGACTTAACCACAGACAAGGGACTGGATTCCTACTTGGCCTCCAGAGGCGAATTGTGATGTCCCTATCTCTTTCAGGAACACAGTCATTAGAAGTAGAGTTCCTTTGATGAAATGCTACTGCTAATGGCTTTTCAGGGACACCCAGTCTTTGCTGTCAATTTGCTTTCCCCCCATGTCTTAGTTTATTTCTCTTTTCCTTTGCGCTGCTATCACATGACATTTCCTCTTCTCTAATGACTTGGCAGGAAGCTTTTGCAATCCTTTCAGTTCTGCAATTCTGATCAATAGAACTGTGTGTGCGGGGAGGCTGCAGCCACAGGCTGGGACGGACAGGACCTGGAAGCAGACCCAGCAAGCAGAATACGCCACTGCTCTTCAAAGTTTGGCATTGGAGAGATCACGCTGCATCCATTCGACTCTGGTAAGCAGGGACTAGCTTTCACTAGTGCTATTCATATGGAATTTGCATTCTAGCCTGAATTTCTTAGAATGGTTTACCTGGGTGAGATTGCTGTACCAAGCTGCCATGCTATTGTCTATCCTGTATTGGGGCAACGTGGCAGTGGACTGGGAATCAAGGGACCAGGGCTCTGTTCCTAGCTTTGCCACTGGCTCGCTGGCTGATGTTGGGCAAGTGACTTCCCCGCTGTGTCTCAGTTCCCCTAGTATAAAATGATGCTCACCCTTGTTTGTCAAGTGATTGGAGCTCATTGAATGAACATGAAGTATCATTATCCTGGAGACAGAGGTATTGCCTTCGTTCCTGGCTTTGGCCATGCTCTTTCTGATTTTAGAGAATAACATAACAATGACTAAATGATGACCCTTCCCATATTGTTAGCCAATGGGTGGGGGAAGCCTGCCAGGGCACCTTTCATCCCAGTGGATCCCAGAGCATTTTATAGGCCACATCCACAGGAATCACTTCATCTATTGCTGAAATGCAGTCACCTCTGGCCTGAGCTCTTAGCAGCAGCATTACTTAAGAGTTTACAAGAAGAAACAGAGAGAATGCTGCACCCCCACTAAAGCTGTTGGGGGAATTCTTGGTAAACAGAACTAATTACCCAGGTTGGAATCTAGCCAAGACATCTGTAACAGGTGGCTTTGAGGGCTGGCCAGGGCTCTCAGCCTCCTATTTGGTTGAGGAGCCTCAGTCTTTAAAGCCAGTGGGGGCAGAGGGACCCAGGCCCTCCCTCTCCACCAAGTCCCAGCCCAGAGCCCTGTGCATGTCAACCTCTGAACTGGAGGATGGGGGGGACGGACGGAGGGAGGGATAGCCCCAAGCAGGGAGTCAAAATGCACCGCCCTGGGCTATGTCCTACCAGTCTATTCAGTTTGGGGTGTGGCCCCTCTAGTCCAGTTTGCTTGGCGGCTTGCTGACCTCTCTTGGGTCTTGCGCAGCTCCTTTGGGCAGGGCAGCTGCAAGTTGGTTAGGGCAAGCCCCACAATGTCTCTGGGGTTGCTCACTCAGTTACCTGGGGTGCTGGGTACATAGGTCCCCTTCGCAGGCTCCCTTGTCTGGGAAGACAGTGCTCTCTCCCAGGTGGCTGCCTTGGCTGGTAGGCTAGAGCTCCTTCCCCTCAGGTAGGGACACAGGCGCTGGCTTTTTCCTTTGCTCAACCTCCACTCAGCCCCAGGCCCTGCTCCCACTGCACCCCTTACCCCAAGCCCCGACCCCACCTCTTCCCCACCTAGTTCCGCCCCCTCCCCCAAGCACACCCCATCCCCACTTGTCCCCCTCCCCCCAGTGCCTCCTGCACGCCACAGAACAACTGATTGCGGCGGACGGGAGGCGAAGGAAGGCGTAAGCTGTCAGTGGGTGATAAGCAGCCGCAATTTTTTTTCCAGGGCTGGAGCACCCACGGAGTCGGTGCCTATGGGTAGGAAGGCAGCTAGCTCCTGCCTCTTCGCAGTCAGCCCTGAACTGAGCCAGTCTCTGACCTTTTCTCCCCTCTCCAGGCCTGGCACTGTTTGCAGGGATAGCAGGGCGGGGCTAGCTGGGCCCAAAGGCTCTCCTTAACCCCTGCTGTTCTGATTGGCATCACAACACTGGAATTCATACCCAGATTGAAAAGTGCCATGGGATCTTTAATGATCACAAGCAATTAGTGCTTCATTTTATATCTCATTCTAGTATCAGGGCCCTCAGCAGAATAGTGCCCCAACATCATCCTCAGCCATTAGTGCAGTCAGAGAAGAGTCTGACCTCTGGAGTGAAATCACCCCTTCCCAGCTCTGCTCAGCAGGCCAGAGGGACTTAGTGGATCATGTGTACATCAGCTGGGTCACTTTCAGCACATTGTACCAGGACCTGCAGAACACGTTGTGCTGAGAGATGAGTATGCACTGGACACATTGTGCTGGGACAGCTCTTCACTGGGCCAGGACAGACACCCAGGCTGAGATCCACTGGCCCTGCCATCGCTGGGATGGGAGTGTTGGACATGTTCCATCAGGACAGGTACTCTTGGGGCTGGAATATGTGAAGCATATTTCCCCAGGACACATAAGTATGTGTAGCACTTAACATGCTTTACGGATGGGGAAACTAACGGAGACACAGAGAGATGCAGTGATTTTTCCTAAGTCACACACTGAGTCAAGGGCAGAGCTGGGAATGGAATCCCAGTTTCCACTCCCAACCTGGTGCCCAGTCCAAGTCTAAATCACACTGAGTGGAGATAGGCACGTGATGAGCTAGATATACCTGTTCAGTCTGGGACACAGCCTGATGTGGTCAGACCCTCCAGTGCGCTGTGTCATGCTGGTGCAAAGGTTACTATGGCACAAACCCCTCCTGGCAAAGGGTGTATCCCCAGAGTTCCCTCTTGCCCAGTGGATCTCTGACTGCTGGGCAATATTGTAAGTTAGAGCAGCCTTCAGGCTGGAGTTGGGACTGGGACCAGGATGGCCCCTGGATATGGGGAACACAATGGTAATTTAAAGCTACTTTCTTAACTTGACTTCCTAAGCTGCACTAAATGCCTTGGTTGCAGCAGCCGAAGATCTGTCCATTTATGCTGGGATGCACACTTGGTGAGCCAGGATGGCCTGAATATGCGGCACTCACTGGGCTGCAATGCTCATTCCCTGGGCTAGGCCTACAGGATGTGTGGGGAGACGGGAACATGGTTATTGCATTAAATAGGCAGAGAAATCCTGTCTGTTAGGGCAAGTGTGATGCACTAGGAGCGGGAAGCCTCTAGGAACTTGGTAACTAAATTCCTTTGCAGGCTGTACTCTCCCATATATTCTGTACTTCAGTGCATAATGCTGGCCTCCTTGGCACTGTGTAGAATTAATACAAAAGGTTTGTTGTACATTCAGCATCAACCTCCATTCACTGTTAATTGGAAGATGTTGCTGGTTTGACAGCCAGCAGCCTAAAGTCCCCTTTCTCAGTCACAGCATGGGCAGCTTCATGCACACGCTGACCGAGAGGGGTCACTTCCAGGAGAGAGTATAATTCAGTCTCCACAAGCCAATCCTAGGTTAGATGGATGGGTGGACAGAGAGAAGCAACTGTTGGTGCAAACAGAGATTTGATTGTATTTCCCCAAAGTGTGTATTCCAGATGATTCCTCTTGCCCCTTGCTTGAATAGTGACCTCTACCCCCACCGCACTGGGGAACGAAGGCCAGGAGGTGGCCTTGCTTGGAATGATTCCTGGATCTGATTTAAATTAGCACATGGTGACTCTGCCTGGACATCTCCAGGCTACTAAATATAGTGCAGCAGCCGCATGAGTGAATCTCTGGGTGCAGCAGACAGGTTGGATTGGAACAAAGCCACAAAAAGGCTCCTTTACTGAACAGGGTGGGGAGGACCAGGCTCAGAGGTTAACCAGCACTGAACAGCATCACCTCAATCCAGAGCCTTCTGCACATGCCAGGGCAGGAACACTGTGCTAGCTGTCAAGGCTGATGGACTCCTCCAGTAGCAACAGGTGAGTTTGGAGCAAACCTCTAGCTCTCTTTTAGCAACACCCCCCTCCGTGCTGCCAGGTGCTGCTGGGGGTGATGCAGCTATGGCAGTATCTTCCCACTGCTCTCTCATGGCAGTCAATATAAGCGCTGTTTCAGTGCTGCTGCTGAGTGAGCAGCCTGACTGAGCAACAGCTGGCACCATGCAGCTTCTCTCTGCAGTTTCCCTCAGCAGGTCCCAGTCTCCCAGCCTACAAACTCTTCCTCAACTTGGATGTCTAGGAATTACCCCTTTCCCATTTGGGGCCCTCCCCCTCCCTGGCCAGGGGTCTTCTAGCAGAGACAGGCAAGTCGCTCTTGAGAGGTGCTCTATGGGCAAGGTGACATTGTGAGGAAAACAGGGGCATTTGTTTGTGTTTTCCACTCGGCTCCTGGCGAGGCGTTAGGGACAGATTACTTTCCTGTATGTTCTCTTCCATTGATAAGTCAGCAGAGACTCCACAGGGCCTGTCCAGAGTGCGACTGTGCCCAAACTCCAAGCCTTGCTGTAGAAAGGCTCTGAACACACCCACTGCCACGGGCTGCTTGTCAGTAAACCTGCAATGGAATGGATCTATTTCATGGGGCATGCACACCACACTGCACCCTGGAGGGGGTGGGGGGAGAGGGCTGGGCACCACCACCAGGGGCTTTGATTATGCATTGGTTGGTTTAGCAGGCATCATAGCTCACAGCATGGGGGATATATTTATACAGTAAAGTCATGTTACAAGAAACTCAGCATCTGTCCCTATACAAACACATCCCTCCCTCAAAGAAATGGGTGAGCTCTTAGAGGTGGAGCTAACAGAGCTCACTGGGCCTACTGTCCCATATACTATATGTGATTAACTAATGATTCTGGTTTTTCTGTGTTTATGTGGCAATAGGTTGTTGCTTGGTCAACAGTAAAGGAGAAAAGAGAGGAAGTAACCTATGTGAGAAGGGACAGTGACGCACAATCAACCTGTGGAACTCCTTGCCAGAGGATGTTGTGAAGGCCAAGACCATAACAGGGTTAAAAAAAGAACTAGATAAATTCATGGAGGATAGGTCCATCAATGGCTATTAGCCAGGATGGGCAGGGATGGTGTCCCTAGCCTCTGTTTGCCAGAATCTGGGAATGAGCGACAGGGGATGGATCACTTGATGATAACCTGTTCTGTTCATTCCCTCCCTGGCACTGGCCACTGTCGGAAGACAGGATACTCGGCTAGATGGACCTTTGGTCTCACTCGGTAGGGCCATTCTTAGTTCTTATGTTCAGTGCAAGTCAGATAGGCCAGCAACAATTAAAGAGCAACTTCCTCACCACACAGCTCTGGGAAAGAGGCTGAGATTGGAGGGGCAGGTGGGGTAGGCAGATATGAGCTCGTAGGGTGACCAGCCATTCTGTATTTTAAAGAACATGGCTTATGTGGTGCCTAATGCCCTGTGATATGACCAGTGTCCAAGAAGGAGACTTTAGGAAACACATCTGATTTCCAGTAATAACCATGGAAATGCTCAGGTACTGTGATACCGACATAGGCTTTGTATCATGAGTAAAACACTTTCAGGATAAGCTCTGTCCCATACTTTACAGTTGGCTTTTTCAAATCCCTGGAAAGGCAGGATAAGGAAAGTGGTAGAATGAGTAGTTGGCTGTGGAACTAGAGAAGGGAGATTGGACCACAGAGCAAGTGGGCATAGGATGTAAGTGGGTATGAAACTGGAGTAATACTGAGAAGAGGAAGGAGCGGAGTGGGTGGGGGACAGACAGCAGGGTGGGTGTCTGAGGTCGAAGAGTGAGAGGAGAGATCAGAGGGGTAAGTGGGCACAGAGGAATGCGGGAGAACTCCTGCAGTCAGAGGGGATATGAACTGAGAACAGACAGGTGGCTCTGGGGCTTGGCAGTGGCCCTACATGCTGTAATCACATGTTTTGTGTTCTTAGAATAAGAAGAAAAGAAAAGGACAGAAAATTTTCTGCCTTGGAAGAGTTGGGTCAGTGACACAATGTCCTCGAAGGGGGGAACTCTTTCACCCCTGAATGCCACCACCCCGTCCGCTGACACCTCATGCGGGGAGGACTCTGAGTTCAGATACCTCCTTTTCACCATCTTCTACAGCTTCATCTTCATTCTGGGCTTCATTGCCAATTGCTATGTGCTGTGGATTTTCTGCCACGTTTATGCTTGGAGGAAACTAAACGAAATCAAGATCTTTATGGTGAACCTGATAGTGGCTGACCTGCTGTTCCTAATCACACTGCCCCTGTGGATACTTTACTATCACCACAATGGAAACTGGATTATGCCTACATTCCTGTGTAACGTGGCCGGCTACTTGTTCTTTGTTAACACCTACTGCTCCATCGCCTTTTTGACAGTCATCACATACAACCGATTCCAGGCAGTGACCAAGCCCATCACAGCCGCTCAGTTCCCCACCCGGAGAAGGGGTATCTTCCTCTCCGCAGCTATCTGGGTGGTGATAATGAGCAGTGCTTTGTACTACCTCACTAGGGATGGAATTAATGAAATTAACCATGGCACCATCAAGCGGTGTTTTGAGGGCTATAACACCTCTACCTCTGACAGCAATGTGCCCATCCTCGCCAGCCACGTTGTCATATTCATTATTTTTGTCTTCATTTTCCTGTTTATACTGGTGTGTAACTTGTTCATTATCAAGACACTATTGACCAAGTCAGTGCAGCTGCAGAAGAGCACCCATGTCAAGCAGAGGGCATTCAGGATGGTGTGCACTGTCCTGGCTGTATTCATCATATGCTTTGTACCTCACCATCTTGTTGGACTCCCCTGGACCCTGACGGTCCTAGAGCTGTGGCAGAAGGAAAACTGTCCCTTGCGCCAGCAGCTCAATGATGCCCATCAGGTGACGCTATGCCTCCTGAGCACCAACTGCATGCTGGACCCTGTCATCTACTGCTTCCTCACCAAGAAGTTCAGGAAGCACCTTTCAGAGAATCTTAAAAGCATGAAAGGGAGTCGCAAGTGTTCCAGGCAAACCACTGAAACAGTGATCGAGGGCACAGTGCCCGTCAATGACCTCCCCACCACCCCCATGAGAAATGAATATAACCCTATCTCCTACTGAGCAGGGCTGGGCCACTTGTGTCATCAGCTTCCTCCCACTAAGCCAGGCCGGAGAGGGACACATCAGTGGGCCAGATCTCTGCATTTCCATCAGGAAGAGGAATTATGAGCATTCAATCCCTGTATCCACAAATGCAACTAGAGGAATAGGGAGCCAGCAGGGGCTGCAAAGGGGCAACTTCTGACACATACTGATGCTTCATGGGACACTAATCACAGCTCAGTTTGTTTTATTTTCTGTAAAGAAAAATGCCATTGACCTTGTACAAGTCTTTCTCCCCCCTCCTATCTCCTTGTGTGATCTGTCAGCACTTTAACATGGGAAGGCAAGGGAATTGCCATGAGGCGAGCTCACCCTTATGAATGACAGAGATTCTATGGGATCTGATCCAAGTAACCAGCCTGGAGAGAAGGGGGGTCTGTGAAAGTCGATGAGTATTGGTGATGTGCTGGAAACCTCAGCCATAGCTCCCCCAATCCCTGGGATCCCTATGTATAGATTTTAAGGCCACCAGGGACCATTATCTAGTCTGACCTCCTGCATATCACCGGCTAGAGAATGTCACCTATTCCTAGACCCACCCAGCCCAATAACTTCTGGTTGAGCTAGCACATATCTTTCAGAGAGACCGAATATCAACTGAAAACCTCCAAGTGACAGAGGATGATTGCCAGCATAGGAGTTAAGATAGCAAATGAATTTAATGCTTCTTCATCATAGCTTTTATTTATTATAGATGGGATTATAAAGAGGGAGTGGCTATTGTCCCTAAGCTTGTGCTGCTGGAAACAAAGAAATGTAGCTGGTTGCTTATTTGAAGACTGTTTTCTGGTATTTTATCATTAATAAACTAACAGCTTGTGGCCACACCCCAGGGCACTCTCCAAACCACTCAACTGCTGCTGTGGTGTTAAGTCCAGTGCAAAAATGTCAAGGGTTTTAAGCTCAGGCATTCAGTCCAGGGTAAAATGGACCCTGCTCCAAACAGTGCTGGCGGCAGACAATTTGGGCCCACAGAAAGCTCGCTATCCTGAGGGTGCCAGGCTTGGTTACAGAGCAGAAGACACTCAAGGCTCCTTGTCTAACCCTGAGTTGCTCAATACTAAACTTCCTTCAAGCACAGGAAGTAGAACAGGGTGGGGAACTCGGTTTGGTTCTTACATGAGGTTTTGGTTCCTCAACTCTTCTAGAAAAATTTCCCAGCTGGTGATAGGAAAAACTCATCTGCCACATTGACACTGGAAAAGGTTATTTATACCAGTTAGCAGCAGCCTGGTGATACCAGCCAGAGAACTGCTAGGAGTGTTTGTGTGGCAAACTCCAAACCTCTCCAATCATCCGACCAACAATGGTATTATATTATGCCCATATTTCACTGAGAGGATTCCCAGCTCTTCGATCCTCAGTCATCACTGGTGGACCACTGAAACTTTGATATCTGTGAATGGGCAAAAAGTTTAGACTTTTCCTTTCTACTATGTACCTCACAGTGGTCACCCATGCATTCAGATGCTACAGTGCAGGACATGGTTAAGAACCCGATCAGAACTGCATGTACCTTTGCCTCCTCTGGGCAAGACTACTGCAATGATCTCTGCTTAGGGCTGCCCATGAAGACTACACAGGGGCTTCTTCTAGTGCAGATATGGCATTCACTTGGTTATTAGAGCAAACTATTCTGAGTGCCTAACACTCATGCTCAAACCTTTGCCCTGGATCCCTGTTCATTTGGAATGCAATCCAAGGTAATGGCAATGATCTTCAAAACTCTTAGTGGGCTTACTTGCTGGAGGCACCGCCTCTCACATTTATGCCCCACTGTGACAGTTATTGGAGGATGTGGTGGCACTCCCCAGGCATGGTAGCAGAATTTTCTGGTTTTGGAGAACTCTCCCATTGGCGGGCCTCCATTACTTGAGTTTTGCAAATTTCAGAGAACAATGAAAGGGGGTGGTGTTTGCTGCAGAGTTTAAGTGTGTTGATTTTGTACTGTGTGTTCCTAGAAATCTTGCAATAGAGACTAGTTTATGCTACACATTGTGGATAACTTTGTACAAGTATGTTTTGCTCCACTGTGCTTAGCTGCTATGGCAATAAGTGCTTCGCTACTAGATGTTTGCATTTATTATCAAAGGGCAAAGACAAAAATATTTGCACAGGACAGACAATGCACTCCAGTTGGAATTTTTTTTAAACTTAACCAAATCATTTAAAATATATCTGTTTAAAAATTTTGCTGAGATTTTTCACTTCTGCTTCTGAGATGATCATTTCAATTTTAGAGGAGGAACAGGATTATACAAATTGGAAATTGTAAACTGCATGCAGGACAAGGATGTCCTGGCCTGACTTAGCAAAATGGATCCTCCAGGAGAGTCTTAAATAAATGTAAAACTCTGCCCACTTGTGCGCAATCCTCTGATATTTTTTCTACATTCACCAATAAATGGGGAGGAGGGGTGTGAAGGGGATGTGAAGAGAAATGGGGTAGAAAAAAGTGATCTTCTCACCCAGACCAAAACGTAGAAATTCATAAATCAAGCCAAGCTGGATGCTTGTGATGAAACAAGCACACATTTTTAAGATAGTGCAAACAGGACTATAAGAATGACATATGTAATGATGAACAGAATCAGGGGATGAGGACTCAGACATAAAGGCCAGAATGGACAATCACAATCATCTAGTCTGACCTCCTGCACAATTGCAGGCTACAGAACCTCACCCAACACTCCTGCAATAGATCCATAACCTCTGGCTGAGTTAGTGAAGTCCTCAAACAATGATTTAAAGACAGAAAATCCACCATTTATTCTAATTTAAACCAGCAAGTGACCCATGCCCATGCTGCAACAGAAGGTGAAAAAACTCCAGAGGAATATTTCTATAACAATGAATAGATGTTGGGGTAGAATTCAAAGGCAACTGATATTGTATTTAACCTTCATTTATTTCCTTTGGTGCAGTAGAAAGTACAGCTAAGGTCTACAACCCCACAAAACCAGGTTGCCATGATATCGCACAGTGTTCACTGGCAGCAATCTTCTTTTTTCTTTTTTTTTAAACTACCAAAGAGTAGACTGTCTGGAATGATGAAGTAGAAGATTAAAACACAATCTAACCCAGTGAAGGGAAAAGGGAAAGAAATGAGGTTTCAGTAGGAAGCCAACGTCTGAAACACTGGCTTGAGCCAGTAGCAGGTCACTAGCAAGGAGCACTTTCCAAAAGACTGGGAAAGGGAAGAGCTTTGCACTTTGCTTAAAAAGGTGGGCATCAAATATGCTGGGTTTGAATAGTCTGACTGAAATGATTTAATGGCTGAAAACCAATTATTTTCAGAAACTTTCTGTAACAGAACAAAACGGAGAGAAGAAAGGTGGTTCCATCCATTACAATAATGAAGTGAGGGTAATGGACAGTACAGAGGACAAACAATTGTGGAGACCCATAAAGTGACTGTTCAACAGTCATATGAAGAATCAGTATTGTGAAGAGGGTTTCAATTTTTTTTTCAGATTAAGTTTTACATTGTGATTCCTGGTAGGTGAAGTTGAGACCGAATCACCACCTTGCCTGCTGAGAGGATTGATGGTAGCTGTACTCCATGAGCATAAATATTCTCTCTCAGGGCCAACTGCAATACCCCTATTCACATTGAGTAGTCCTACTGAAACCAATGGGATTATATGAGAGGTAATGTACGATTCAGTGTTAAGAGTACCAGCTTGAGGGCCAGATTATAAAATACTAGGGACAAGGACTCTCTTTTTAGTTGTGTCTTGTATTGCACTGAACATGTTATAATTATTTAACAAGTAACTAATTCTCAATAAACCACTTTCACACTCATTCAACCTGGTTTTCATTTCTCAGCTGAGTGACAGGCTTTTACTAGAGAAATTTTGGTTTGGATGTGCTTGTCCTTTCTCCAGTTGGATTTAGCTAGGGAGGTGCTGGTTTCCCAATGCCAAGGAATTCTACATGTAGCCAAAAAGCTGTGCCAGATTGGCAAAGCTTATCTTGCATTTACCCTTTGGGCTGCTTGCGAGGATATGGAGGATGGAATTGAAGAGTATATTCATCCACACATCTTTGTTCACATGATCCACTACATTGTGCCCAAACTACTGTATTACTGGCCATTGCCAGGGAACAGGTTGAGACTTAACATCAGGGACAAGTCAAGTTCCCCTCCTCATTATTGGCAAAGAGTTTTAAAGATTAACCTGAACCAAAACTCTGGTTTTCAAGTTTGGGCTACCTTCCAGCCTGCAACCAAACTTCCCCAGTTCAAAGGGAAAGCAGCATTTTTCTTCTGCATAGTAAAGTTTAGAATCTGTATTAAGTCAATGTTCAGCTGTAAACTTTTGAAAGAACCATAATGTTTTGTTCAGAGTTACAAAAATTTCAGTTATGAACAACGCCCATTCTCAAGGTGTTTGTAACTCTGAGCTTCTACTGTAGAAGTTGGTACAATAAATTATCTCATTCACCTTGTCTCTCTAAAACCATAAGTGACAAACTATGTTTAACCATTTTAAAGGCCGTGTTTTCATTGTGTGAATTATATCATTAAAAAAAACAAAAAAAACAAAACAAAACGAAAAAACCCCCAAATCATCTCCTATGCAATCAGAGATTCATAGAACTGGAAGGGACCTCAAAGGGTCATCTAGTCCAGTCCCCTGCACTCAAGGCAGGACTAAATATTATCTAGACCATCCTTGACAGGTGTTTGTCCAACCTGCTCTTAAAAATCCCCAATGATGGAGATTCCACAACCTCCCTAGGCAATTTATTCCAGTGCTTAACCACCCTGACAGTTAGGAAGTTTTTTCTAATGTCCAAACTAAACCTCCCTGCAATTTAAGCCCATTGCTTCTTGTCCTATCCTCAGAGGTTACGAAGAACAATTTTTCTCCCTCCTCCTTGTAACAACCTTTTATGTACTTGAAAACTGTTATGTCCCCTCTCAGTCTTCTTTTCTCCAGACTAAACAAACCCAATTTTTTTCAATCTTCCCTCACAGGTCATATTTCCTAGACCTTTAATCATTTTTGTTGCTCTTCTCTAGACTTTCTCCAATTTATCCACATCTTTCCTGAAATGTGGCGCCCAGAACTGGACACAATACTCCAGTTGAGGCCTAATCAGCGTGGAGTAGAGCGGAAGAATTACTTCTCGTGTCTTGCTTTCAATATTCCTGCTAATACATCCCAGAATGATATTTGCTTTTTTTCCAACAGCGTTACACTGTTGACTCATATTTAGCTTGTGATCCACTATGACCCCCAGATCCCTTTCTGCAGTACTCCTTCCTACACAGTCATTTCCCATTTTGTATGTGTGCAACTGATTGTTCCTTCCTAAGTGGAGTACTTTGTATTTGTCCTTATTGAATTTCATCCTATTTACTTCAGTCCATTTCTCCAGTTTGTCCAGATCATTTTGAATGATAATCCTATCCTCCAAAGCACTTGCAACCCCTCCCAGCTTGGTATTGTCCGCAAACTTTATAAGTGTACTCTCTATGCCATTATCTAAATCATTTATCAAGATATTGAACAGAACTGGATCCAGAACCGATCCCTGCAGGACCCCACTCGTTATGCCCTTCCAGCATGACTGTGAACCACTGATAACTACTCTCTGGGAATGATTTTCCAACCAGTTATGCACCCACACTTATAGTAACTCCATCTAGGTTGTATTTCCCTAGTTTGTTTATGAGAGGGTCATGCAAAACAGTATCCAAAGCCTTACTAAAGTCAAGATATACTACTTCTACCGCTTCCCCCCATCCACAAGGCTTGTTACCCTGACAAAGAAAGCTATCAGGTTGGTTTGACACGATTTGTTCTTGACAAATCCATACTGACTGTTATTTATCATCTTATTATCTTCTAGGTGTTTGCAAATTGATTGCTTATTTATTTGCTCCATCATCTTTCCGGGTACAGAAGTTAAACTGACTGGTCTGTAATTCCCCGGGTTGTCCTTATTTCCCTTTTTATAAAGTCTCTTTTCATAAAGACCCCTGTCACCCAGCAACTTCAGATTCCTAGAACAGATCTGTAGTATTTGAGCCATAGGAACATTACTACCCCTTCTGTGGACCAGCCTCTAGAGGAGAGGTTCCCAAACTTTTCTTATTGCGTACCCCTTTGAGATCTACCAGCTCCCCATGTACCCCCTTCCACATCCAGCTGCCTGCGTACCTTTACCCTTCTCATCACTGACACTTTGTGTGTTCTTCTTAACACTACCTGTCTTTAACCATCTGTCCATATTTCACTCTTACGCTCAGACTGGATAGATGCGGGGCAATTGAATCCGTGCTATACGGTGATTGGAGACAATGGCTCTGTACCTCAGCATCTTTGTGATCTTATTGGTACAGCTTGAAGTAAATTAACTACCCTATTTATATAACAAATTCCCATGGAGTTTTAAAGTTTCATCTGAGTAGCTTATTATGAAAATACAATAAAATTAATAAATAAAATCCACCATTACACAATTTCTCCCACTTATCCCCAGAGATGTCTCACATACTCCCAGGGGTACATGTACCACCGTTTGGGAATCCCTGCCCTAGAGGGAGTCTTGACATATACAGAGAGTAATTCACACACCTATTTGCTAGGCAGAATATTGGCAGTTAGAAACTGCAGTTCTATCCCTGAATCTGGAAAGGAAGTGTAATCTAGTGGTTAGCAATAGGATAACAAAAACACATAGGTGTGGCACATTTAGTCTGACAGGCAGTGCAGATCAGCAGCTAAAAATAGGGTCTATCGTATTAGACACCTATTCCTAGAGTTCTATTCCCAACTGCAACCTCTCTGGTGATTTGTAAAATGGGGTGGCTACCACTTGACTACCTTCTAGGATTAAGGCATGAGGTCTTGGTCTATAATCTGGGCTATGAAGTGCACAGAAATACAAACAGCAGTCTGTAAAGTTCCCAACTCAGTGCACCTTCCCTTAAGATGTGTTGATACTTTCACTCAATAGAACAGGCAACCTGAATAGTCTTAAAAAGTTGAACATTCTGCAAAATCTAGTATCTCTAGAGACTTGCAACTATGTTATATAGTCAAGTCAAAGGGAGTGTATTGAATACAATAAAAACACAGTGAATATTGTAATGTGAAATTTAAAAAAGCCTGACAAGTATTAAGGCTATCAAGTATGTTCCCTAATTTCTAACAAAGTCCTCCTGAATGCCACACATCATGAAAATTAAATAAATACGCTACACTTCTATGGTGCCTTCCATCCCTGGTTCTCAAAGTGTTTTACAAACAGGCGTCACAACACGTCTGAGATATGTTTTGCTTACTGAGCAGAGAAAATTATTTAGAAAGTTTAATCATATGCAGAACTTTTTTGGATGATAATCAAAAGCTGAAAATATACCAATGCATTCAGGAACAATATGAAAAATAAATGGGAAATTTATCATCTTCATTTAATTTCCTCCTTCCCCTCCTCTAGACTTTCTTATATTCTGCTCATTTCACCTGTAATTAGCTTCCAAACCTAACATGCCAACCTCTCTCCCCTTCCTTCACATCCCTCCTAACATTCACTATGGCTTGAGAATACAATTTTTTTTTTTTAGTAAAATATCAGCGTACCCGTATGATCTTATTACTGCAACCATTGTTCTACCTAGTTTCCCTTCTCTCCCTCTGCTGCCCCCACCCGTTTTTTTTTATTAGAGAGACAGTGTGTGAGGTAATATCTTTTATTGGACCAACTTCTGTTGGTTGGAGAAGCTTTCAAGCTACACAGAGCTCTTCCTCAGGTCGGTGTAGCTCTATGTAGTTTGAAGGCTTGTCCCTTCCACTCACAGAAGCTGGTCCAATAAAAGATATTTCCTCACTCACCTTGTTTCTCTTACCCTGGGACCAACATAGCAACAACAGCACTGCAAAGTCCTTTTTATTACTCTAGCTCAGGGGTTCTCAAACTTTACCCCTTCACCTGACCCTTTCTGACAACAAAAATTACTACATGACCCCAGAAGGGGGGACTGAAGCCTGAGCCCGCCAGAGCCCAGCTGGGGGGGAGAGGGGGGGGGGGAAGACAGCAAAGCCTGAGCTTCACTGCTCTGGGCGGGGGAACCAAAGCCTAAGGGCTTTCAGCCCCAGGCAGGGGGCCTGTGACCTGAGCCCTGCCACTAAGGGATGTAGTCCTCAGGTTTCGGACCCGGCCAGTGAGACTCAGGCTTCAGCTTTGGCCCAGTGCAATGGGGCACAGTCTTCGGCTCCAGACGGTGAGGCTTGCTCTTGGGCTTTGATTGCTGACCCCAGAAAGTCTAACACCAGCCCTGGCGACCCTACTGCGTGATCAGGGTCTCACCCTGTAAGCTCCCATGGGCATGGCTCACACCTTCACTTGTTACTGTGTCATGCCTAGCTTGGGTGCTCAGTTACCAGTACAGTAAGCAAACCTCAGCATCAGGCAGGAGTGGCGCTTGCCACCTCGGCAATAGACAGCACGCCTCCTCCACATGTTCCGACTGTTTCACTGCACGTCATGACACGCCAGAGCAGGGGGTGGGCAAACTACGGCCCGTGGGCTGGATTTGGGCCGCCAGCCATTTTACTCCTGCCTGTGATCTCCTGCTGGGGATCGGGGTCTGGGGTTTGCCCCGCTCTGGCATTCCAGCTGGGGAGCAGGGTGAGGAGCCAGAAGCAGTGACATGGCCCTCCGGCTCCTACACGGAGGGACAGCCAGGGGACTCCACTCTGCAGGCTGCCCCCACCCCAAGCGCTGCCTTGAAGCTCCCATTGGCCGGGAACCATGGCCAATGGGAGCTGCAGGGACGGTGCCTGCGGAGGGGGTAGCGTGCAGAGCCGCCTGGCCACACCTCTGTATAGGAGTTGGAGAAGGGACATGCTGCTGCTTCTGGGAGCCACTTGTGGTAACCCCAACACACTGCCCCAGTCCTGATCCCCCTTCCACCCTCCAAACCCATCTGTCCCAGCCCAGAGCCCCCTCCTACACCCCAAACGCCTCATCCCCAGCCAGTGCCCTCACCCCCCCCCACAGAGCCCCCTCCCTCATTTCTAGCTCCACCCCAGAGCCTGCACTCCAAACCGAGCCCTCACCAACTCCAGCACTCCAAGCCCAGTTTTGTGAGCAGTCATGGCCCGCCATACAATTTCTATTGCGCCAGACGCGCGGTCCTAGGCAGGCTGACGAGCTGGCACTGAGCAGCTCCTGGGTGACACCTCGTGGGCCGGACTGGTACCTGTCGGGGCACCTACAAAGGGGAGGTGGGCGGGCCTCAGGCCGAGTGCCGCTTTCGCCGGGTTTATGGCACTAACCCAGGTGCCCCGTGCTTCCCACAGCTCGCCCCGGCTCCACAGGCTGATCCGGCCTGACCCGGCCCGAGCGGGCCAGCGTCGCTAAGGCGACCGGCCCAGCTCCGCGCCCGAGCTCGAGCTGAGGACGAAGAAAGAACCAAACAGGGCAGCCGAGCCGGGCTGCTCCCAACCCCACCGCAGCGTCACTTCCGGCTGAGCGGGGTTCTGCTTCCGGGTTACGCTGCCTGGCTGGGCTCCGAGCTGAGTGTTCCTTGTACCGACCGCCACGGCCGCTGCCATGTCCCCCAGGGGACGCATTGCCGGGGCCGGCTCCGGAGCTGCCGCTTCACGGTAAGAGGCTGCTCCGCTGGCCTCTGCAGGCTCCTTCTCGCGAGACCCAGGGACCCCCGCCATAGCAGCCCCCCCCGACGAGAGATACTCACGCGTGTCCTGCCCCCCCCCGCGTGGATATGCCTAGCCCCTCCCCGGGACCTGCATGGCGGGAACTGAGTGGTCCCCCCCGTCACTGCGCCCCCCACGGCGCTGCTGCTACTTCACCCCGCCAGGCCTCCGCTGTGGGGCGGAGCGCCCGGAGATGGATCTCCTGTGGGGCCGCGGCTGGGTGGGAGTGTATGGCAGCTGAGCTTAGGAGACAGTGGGCTTGTGGTCACTGTAGTGACTAAGGGCTGGCTGGGGGAGGGGGGATAGCCCCTGAGCGAGCCGTACAAATTAATGTGAAGGTTTCTTTCGTGTACAGCCTCAGTGAAACGGTCAGTGCCTGTAAATGTACCAATTTCCCTGCTGAGTCCTTCCATCCAACTCCAATAGCCTGTAAACATGGACTTACTTTCTGTACCTGTGGCTAGCACTGTTTCTGCCGCATGAAAGCCTATAGAGCATTAACCATATTGTGATGTATTGTCTGGATTCTAAATACAGAGTTCCAGATTGTTAAGAAACCATGTGCTTGTGGACAGTTAAATGAAAACCTCTTCTCTATATGCAGCTACAGTAAAAAGAAAGCAGCAAAGAGTCCTGTGGCACCTTATAGACTAACAGACGTATAGGAGCATGAGCTTTCATGGATGGATGTCATGCATCCGAAGAAGTGGGTATTCACCCTCGAAAGATCATGCTCCTATACGTCTGTTAGTCTATAAGGTGCCACAGGACTCTTTGCTGCTTTTACAGATCCAGACTAACACGGCTACCACTTTGATAGTAAAAAGAAACAAGATGTTAGGGCGCATAAGAATGAGATGGAGAATTAAAGACAAAATGTAATGCCATTATATAAATCAGTGTTACACCCTCAGCTGGACACTGTGTGCTGTATTGGTCATGCCATCTCAGAAAGAATGTTGTAGAATTAGAGGGGTTTTAATTTACTTTTCTCTTATGGTGACTTCTGTCTGTAGCTGCACAGGAATCCTAATTTTCACTATTGGGGAAAAGTTTGCTGTTCTGCTGACATTATGTAGCGGTGGCCTTTCCTTTCCTTAAAATCATGTCATTGTGAATACCATTGTGCCCTTTTGTGATGTGATTTTGGTTGCGTACAGTATATTTCACAACTTTTTAATTAGACCTTAATGCTTCTTATCACTTAAGATTTTAGGCGTGAGCACTCATTTATGGCTTAGATGGTTTAAACTTTATGTGAAATTGGACTTTGAAATGGTCACTGGCCCATCAGCCTAGAATTGTGTGTTTTGCATTTTGTGGTACTGACTGTAGCAAGTCGTAGATATTGGCTGACCATAATTCTCAGTTCTGATTCATTTACCATCTGTAAACATTTTTAACCTTTAAATGTCTAGTTGTAGGATAACTTTTGAATTGGGCTGTATATAAAAAAGTATCCGTGTTTTGCAGAGTGTGTGGTAATAGGATTTGTGGAAGAATCTCCATGATAAGCTAGCATACTGTTTCTTAGTTTCATGTGCCACAGGCTGAGCTTATTGGTGTAAATAGTGGGTCCCACAAACAGCTGATGACTGTCCTGGATTTATGGTGAGCTTGATCTTGGTCAGGATCCAAAGACACACAGGAAGGCTGGGTAAAGCAGATTGGAATGTTTTTGTTTAAATGATTAGATTTGTCCATAAGATAAAGTGGTCCCAAAATGTTGTTCTCCTTGGGTATTGAGGTGTGCTAGAAATGTATACAGTACATTGATGTCAAAGGTATATTGGCAAGTCAAAATTGCCCCTGAATTAATATTTGGAAAAATTCAACCTGATACCAGTAGATTTTTTTTTCATGCTTTGCAGTGCAAGGCTAGTGCAGGAGAATTTGAATGTGAAATTGACTAAAAACTACTTTCATTGTCCTACCTGGGAGAAATGGAAAAAGTAAATGACATTAAAGATGTAAAGCTAATTAGATTTTTAACATTTTCAGTTTTAATCTTTGTAAACTTGTAAAAATGATACTTAAGATGACTGCCTCTTTAATACGCCAAATCAGGGTGTAAGGTTACAATATTAGGAAGTCAGAGATACATGAGGTGGTTTGAAATAGTGTCAAGCTTTGCTATAACAGATCTTTATGGTGGGGAGAGACTGCTTAAGGGAACTCTCGTTTCCTAAGCCCATAAACTCTAGAGTTAGTGGCAGAGACTGCTAATTTTTATTTAGTACCACTGTGGGCAGTGCACGTCTGAGACAAATGACAATGTTCCTGCCCAAGGACTAACAGTCTGAAGCCCTGATCCCACTAGCTAATCCGTACAGACTCCTGTGTCCATGTGGATGAGGTCAGTGGGGCTCTAAATGAGCATAAAGATCTATCACTAGATATCAGCTTGCAGTATCACGACCCAGGTTACTACATAATGTGTTGATGCATTATAGTGATCAATAAGGAGGTGGGGGAAAAAAGAGGACAAAGATTACAGCAATATCTACTTTGGCTAGTAATACATTCATGTACCTCGTGGGTTTGTAACTTGGATACTTCCACTATAAGAGCAAGAGTAAGGTTTTATAGATCTCACAGAAGGGATTTGTTTTAAGGAGAGTCTTGAGAAAGAAGATGAGGCTTGGTGAGCTGGGTGTGAACAGCAGCACGGAAAAAGGCCACGAGGTGACACTGGGAAATGCAGCTAGGGAGGTGGCTTATTGTGTGCTTTGAGGGGTAAAATCAGTTCAGTGGGAAGTGCTGAATTGTGAAGGGCTTTGAAGGTAAAGGTCGGGTCAGGAGCTCAAATTTAAAAGATATAAAGGTGTGGGGAAGCCAAAGCTAGATATACTAGATGTGATCAGAGCATCAGGCAAGGTACCTTTTTTTTCCCTCTCTCTTTTTTAACAGTAGCATTTTGAGGGTTTGGAGAGTCTAGAGCAGTGGTTCTCAAACTGGGGTTTGTGAAATGTTACAGCGGGTTCTTGGGGGGGGGGGGGAAATTCCCTAACGGTGGACAGAGCTGTCCCTAGGGATCCTGGGCAGCACAGGGCCAGCAGCCCGGAGCCCCTGGACTTCCAGGAGCTAAGCATATCTGTCACACTGAGGAGATTTAAACTTCAAGACTCCTTATAAGAAATGGAAAGGGAGGTGGATATTTTTTGCTGTTTTTAAAATTAAATAGGCAGCTAGTATTGTTTTTAAAATTATTATGAACAAGTTTAAGCTTTGTTGTAATGTGCGTTGTTTGCCTGAAGACCTGAATGCTTGTGTAGGAGGAACTCTTTGAGTTGGCTTCTTAAATACCTTTATGCTGTTTCACATCTGATACTCCTTGATGAAACACAGGAGCCTTGTCTTATAAAAGGCTTATTCAAAGTGACACAAGCTACGAAAGTGAGATCTTGGAAGAGTGTTGCCATTTTCATAATGTAATAAAAATACTATAATGATAAATAATAATAGTGTGTAATAAGCATGTTATAAAAACAAATTTTATATTCCCAAGATCACTGCTTTTATAATTTATACTCAGGTAAAGGAGAAAATCCCTGGAAATATTCATTTTTAGGAGGGGGATTGCGAGATTTGACATTTAAGGCTTGGTGTACACTAACCCCCCCAAGCATAAAAATATGCTAATGGCTAATTCACCCATTAGCATATTTTTATAAAATCATATAGACTGCAATGTCACAAGGGGTTCACAGGTTGTTAAAGTTTGGGAACCACTGGTCTAAAGGCAGGGAGATGCACAAGGAGGTGATAGCCAGTTTGACTACTGCATTATCTTGATGTAAACTTCCCTTTTCCATCCGCACCCTGACACCACCTACAATGCGGCTATCCATTTTTAATACAGAAGCTTACAGCATATTGAGAACTTGGAATGCAGTAAAATATCAAATAAATAATCTGGGACACTGTCCTGATTGTGCAGTGCTGTGGGAAAGGACTTAATCAGTGTGTTCAGAATTATTGTTTATGATATCTGGATGTATTTGGCACAGTTCAGGGCTAGCTGCACCCATATCCTTCATAGTATTAAGCTGGGTATTGTGAAGTTTGTAACTTTGCTAATTTAACCTGCATTAGGCAGAAACTTGGTGTATAGGATTGTCACAGGGTTTTTATCTCTATATAAATAGGGGCACCCTCTCTTCAGGTGTTTCCTGCACTCACAGCTATAATGCCTTCTGCATTGGCCTCTGGCCTCCTAGTCCTGGAGCACCTGGCCCTTACAACCTCTCCAACTTCCCTCTTGTAGGTTTTTATACAGCTGCTGGTCTTGATCAGCTACTCTCACCAAATAGTCCTGTAAGTATACTTGGGTCTCCCACAGTCTCTGTTGATTTTCCAGTATCTGTCCCCATATAGCATGGACCCATCCCTGTTGCTTATGATCTCCCTTCTGTGAGAGTGGCACCTCCGGCATCAACTCTGGTGTGGGATAACTTCCCTCAGCGAAAGAAGTCTGTACTGTAGGAATCTCCATCTCTCTTTCCCTTAGGGGTTCTTTCTTTGTTATGGCCCCTTTGTCAAGGTTCGACTCCCTTACAGTCTCTAACACCTCACCTTGGGGTGCTCATCATGCACAGTCTGTCACTGATCCCTTTTGTCAGGGATGACTATCATGCCCACATTCACCACCAATTGTGATGGGGTCGTCTACACTGCTAGATGGGTGCCTCCTCCTGGTGGTTCTGGGTATTAGCTCTGAGGCCGACGCCCCTTCCTGAGGTTGCACTTTGTCATTGTCTCTTTCTCACTCTGTGCCCTCTTTTTGACTGCGGGAGCTGCAGCTTCCTCTTTGGGATTCCACCGTCCGTCCAGGTCACTCGGCAATTTCCCGTTCCAGGTTGGTCGTTAAAGGTTCTCTCCAGAAGCAGCATCAGGCAGCCCTCACGGCTGCCGCCCTGACTGTGTCGCTCCCGCAGTGATGCCAACAG